GAGAGTGCGTAATATGCTTAGAGAAAACTCGTTCAACACTGGAACTGAAGTGAAAAACGATTTTTTTACCACTGATAAAGGTTCCCGTGCTGATTCCAAAACCGTTTGAATTTTTTTAATACGTTATGTAGTTTTTAAGTTATTAAGTTTTTAAAGTCGAAATTTGCCCTCATCGATGGCGGAGCGAGAACGCGGTCGGACCACTGTGTCACGTGACCTTGTGACGTAAAGTGGTGGACACGAAGAGATGTTTTGATGTAATGTAGTAGTGAGTTTGATAAGGTTCATGACAGATAACAATCGTGAAAATTGTGATGAAAGCATGAAACTTGGTGAAAATATAGAATTCGGTATGCGCAACAAGATAGAATATAGAATCATTTTGGGAAAAAAAATCCTTGTGCTATTTTTAGCCTGGGGTACTTGTGCCCAGTACTCAGAATACGTTAGTATGGTCAATCTATTTCTGTTAACTATACAACCATGAAACTCGGCAAACCGACACAATTTGACTTGCTGAAAATGATAAGAATGGTCCCCATCCTCAGAAATACCCCTTGTGCTACTTTTAGACTGGGGTACTTGTGCCCAGTACTCAAAATACGTTAGTATGGTCAATCTATTTCTGTTAACTATACAGCCATGAAACTTGGCAAACCGACACAATTTGACTTGCTGAAAATGATAAGAATGGTCCCCATCCTCAGAAATACCCCTTGTGCTATTTTTAGACTGGGGTACTTGTGCCCAGTACTCAAAATATGTTAGTATGGTCAATCTATTTCTGTTAACTAAACAACCATGAAACTTGGCAAACCGACACAATTTGACTTGCTGAAAATGATAAGAATGGTCCCCATCCTCAGAAATACCCCTTGTGCTATTTTTAGACTGGGGTACTTGTGCCCAGTACTCAAAATACGTTAGTATGGTCAATCTATTTCTGTTAACTATACAGCCATGAAACTTGGCAAACTGACACAATTTGACTTGCTGAAAATGATAAGAATGGTCCCCAACCTCAGAAATACCCCTTTAAACATGATTTCTCATGCTTTGTCTATAGAACATGATATCAAAGCATTTTCTGGTATAACTCCAGGCACAAAAAACATTCATACCAGGATGTACATAAAGGAGAAGGATTAAAAGCACAACCATTAAATGATGTGTATGTTTCCAAGTTTATTAAAAGACCTTATCTTAACAAAAGATATGTCAGGGTTTCTATCTCATAACTGTTCTATGAAAAATGTTGAGTTGAAGCAAATTTCAGAAAAATATAACCATTGGGCACCCAAAAACTTCATTCTCAAAATTTGAAAACAGTGTATCTAAACAACAGGCAGTGACAGAATACATTAAAAGAACATTGTACTGTGAAGGTAAAACATTTTCTTCTGATTATGTATAAAAAATGTTACCAAGCAGGTGGTACAGGACCATTATTGTAAGAGAAAAACTTTATCAAATCCAAACTATTCTACACATTTTGATGTGAGTAAAATATCTTGAAAAATATACCTTAGGAATCTTGAAAATATCAAGCCTTGCTCAATCTCCACTAGTTTTAACAAATTTCTAACTTATAACATGACCCCACTGGTTCTAAATTTCTCTTCTTGCTATTATGAACTGAAAGTCTGGTCCCTTTGAATAACCCCTGTATATAACCCTGTACTCCACTGTATATGTAGTAGGTAGCTGAGTTTTGCATTTTCATTGTCTCTCTGCAGAATTTTGAAACCCTTGTCTTCTTTGACTAAAGTTCTTTTCTTTACATTTTGTGATAAATTCATACTTAAAGTTGTCCAGTTTTTCCAGCACAAATACCCAAAAACCAGCAAACCATCCATTGATCGGCCACTGTTTGTAGATACCTAGCAAAATGGATATAATTTTAGGTATTAATCTATTTTAGGCATATTTATGCAAAGCTATTTGACATTTTCGAATTATCAGTCCAAAAATCTTAATTGCAGTAAGATTTAATAATACTTGTCAATGTACAAAAAACAAGCCAGTTTTAAAACCAAAGTGAATTAGGTCGACCTGTTCCGTGCTACACATCAAACTATGTATAAACGTTCTATATCAAAGGAAATATTTATTAAATTGTAACATGTAATAATCCTTATTATTTCAGATTTTAGAAATGGAAAGATTATAATATGTAGCCTACATTCTCAGTTGAATCTTACTTTTTATAAGGAAATAAGGAAATTGTGTTTGAGTTGTTCTTGCCTTCATTGTCAGAAAAGAAACAAAGATCGACGTACCATTGATTTACTTCCTCATTTCTACCGACAAAACGAGCACGTCGCGGGAGATAATTCATCCTCAGCCTCTGGGATCTCATCGGGCCTAGGCTAATCTTCATCGCCACTTTCGCAGTTCCCGTTCGCCCTTGGTAGGGCAAGTACTTCACCACCACATGCTCCAAATTCATCGTCGCTCGATCTTAAGTCTGTTGTCATTCCTGAAGAGCTGTCGTGAAAATTGCGAACTGAAATTCTAACCAATAACCGAATCCCTCCCTCCGATTCACTCTACTACCTACTACAATGTTGTTTTCGTTGCGATCGGGGCACGTGTCCACGACTTTACGTCAGCGCCTGAAACTTGTCTCCAGACCTCTCCGCCACCGAAATGGAGAAATTTCACACTTCGCGTGGTGAATGCAGGAAAACGAAAAGAAAAACACTAATTTCGTGTCGATATTCGAAATCAGCATGATGAAAACTACTAAATAATTGATTTTCATTTTTCACTTCAGTTCCCCTTTAACTGGCTGGCTGGGTCATTGAAAAGTTTCCTGGATGTCTGGAAAAGTTTTAAGAACTTGTAAACAAATAGTTATGATAACTAAAGTTGTTTTCCTTGAGTTTCTGTTATCACTTTTAACATGAGAATATGACAATGTTGTCATAAAATCAAAATTATAGCAATAATAAGTACAAGGTTAATAGAAATCCACTTCACTATGCTTTTTAATATTTGCCTTGCCTTAAGCAAATAAGCATCTTTCAAGGACAAAGGCCTCCTCAAAAGTACCCCCTCAAGTAAACCCTGGTTAATAAATTCATTTTTATGAATAAGCCCCTGGAGGTTTACTCAACACTTTATGATATATGTATACATCCTTTTTACCTAACAGGATAATTTTGTCATTGGATTGCAAAGGATTGCCAAGAAATAACAAAAAGATTTCTGTTCTGGATGCATAAATGAATGAGATTTTTTATTAAACACACTTCAACAAATAAACTTTATAGAATTGTTAACATTATTAACTCACTCAGGAAAAAAGCGATGTTAATTATATACATGCACATTTTTAACCTTATGTTTCAAGCAATTTTTATTTCATAGATGGAAAAAGTCTACTGAGACATGCCCTTGTAACTAAAATCCTCCACTAAATTTCTTTACTCATATGCTTAGTATATTAAAAAAGAATTTAAATAGCAAGACTAATTAGGCAGCAATAAAATATCAAGCAGATTGTGCCAACAGATTTGACAATATCCTCATATATTAGTTGGTAGAACTTTTTTTAGTAGGCTGATCAAGTACCATCATTTTCTTTATTTCACCAATGGCAAGGCCAGGATTGAGACCCTAGAAAAACAAAAAACTAGTGAAAAAGGGGCTTTTTCTTGATGAATATGTAACACTTTGATTGAGCTTAAACAAAACTAAAAACTGATGACAACAGGATTATGTGAAGTAGAAAAAAGTACTTGTGATCAAATTAAATCATTACATTTTCTGTCTATTTGTCTTTATTTTGCCAAAGTGTATATTTACCTGTTTGTAGCCTATAGTTTTAAAAATAAAAATGTTCTGGTTTTAACTATTACTACTCTTGGAATTATTAACTTGTTCAAATGGCAATAGAAAAAGAACTAGGGTAAATTGGAGAGACCAATCTATTTTTACAAAATAAAAAGATTGGGAACCAGTGTTACAGCCCAAATTCAATGTATACAGCAAGCATAGAATCCACACCTTTGGACATGTTTTGGTACAATTCATAATAGTATGACATCTGTAAACAGACCAGTGGTCGTTTAGCTTTGATAATCTTTCCTCTTGAAAATCATCCTGATACAAAACAGAAAATATGAATTGCTAAAAATATCAGTAAAATATAATTTCAAATTGCAAAGGCATTAATTGATAGCTGTCAGTTAAAATGTATATTTGTTGCAGAGGAACAAGCTCCATTCCCCAAGACAGAGCAATTATCTGCAAAATGAAATGGTGACAACTCGTGGTTTGTCAAGCAGGATATGTGAGCCATTGGTCAGTTTATCAGGGATTTCATTAGAAGCCGGCAACCAGCAAAAGGCAGTCGCTTACTCACCAAACCTTCACCACCTACTTTCACCTTCACTACCTACTTTCACCCTCACCCCTACTTTTAAATGGGAGCATTCTACTTCAAAAATTAATGAAAACCTTAGTTAATAATGCAACATTAAACATTTGCTAGTTCTCCTCAATTGTCAGAGTGAGCCACAGATTTTTAAGCTACCAAAAACTCATTGCTCTCCTTAAAATCAATTTCCCTTTGCTTCTATGTTTTTTATGAATTATGTTACTGTTACTTTTTCATAAAAATCAAGTATAAGAAGCCCTTTCCTCCTTCTCCAATGAATGCCTGTATAAAAACAGCAAGTTTTGAAGAATAAGCTTGAAATTTTTTTAAATGATGCAGTGATTCAATTTTGAATAGGAAATATAGTTTTTAACTTAACTGATAACAATAAAATAATGCATCGAGATGGGATTGAACTTTACATGACCCAATCAACTAAAATTTTGACATATCATTCCTAATAGCCATACAAATGTATCAAACCGAAGTAATAATTCCTTAAAAATACTGACAAATTCTTAACATGGCAGTACACAAATTATATAATATTGCCAATCCTCTCTCGAGTTAGGCATATATTTTTCATCTATCTTACCCTGCTGTCAATCATCCATCTATAAGCCTGCATTAATGCTGCAGGTCCAAGGTATTTGTCTCCATTCCACCAATAACTTGGGCATGATGTAGAGCAGCAAGCACACAAAATACATTCATAGAGTCCATCCTAAGGTTTGCATAGAAATTGGTGAATATATGCATGCAAACATCTTGAAAATGTTGACAAGAAAGGTAAATTTTATTTCAGGCCTGTTTTAGGCGAGGAAACTTGTTAGGAGCAGCAGAAGTTTTTTAATCCTTATTTCCATGAAGCTATGGCTTTGAGTCTAGAAAGGTAGTCATCCTTCCTGGGGACAAGTTCAGGAAACTTAGAATCATTTGTAAGGAAGCAAAGGAAGTAAACAGGGATTATGAAACAATACTAATATGTTTTCATTGGCCTTTCTCAGGGGCTTTGACCACAGGACTGCCATATTTTTAAGGGTTTTCCATGACTAGCCTACAGGAATAAATATTAGGTTTCCAGAATTGGAATACCCAAATGATTTCAGATAAATTAATCCAATCCTTATCAGATAAATTGTTGAAAAAGACAAATTCTGGTAAAGCTCTACAGCTATATACAAAAGGAATGCTTACCAATTTCTTCCTGTCTTCAACTGACTGATAGTTTTCCTTTTCTGATGTGTTTGGCTGTTTCTGCTTCAAATAAGGCTCAATTGATGCATATTGTTCATAAAAGTTGGTCATGTCCTGGAGAAAAAATACATAATTACATTAAAAAAGGAGCATTTTACATCTACTGCCATTTTTACTTTTACTTCTACAAATATAATAATGCTAATTAAAATGCTAAGGATAACTGGAATCATGACTGAAGGAAAATTTGAGATGAACAAGATTATAGTAAAATAATCTTAGGCTTAAAGATTTTACAGGCAAATTGACTGCAAAAATCAATGTTTTAAATCTGCAGGGCTTGAACATACTTACAGGGACAAGGTCTTTCACCACATACATATGTGGGAGAGGGTAGATCTTTGTCTTTGCCTTGGTATCAATTTTGCTATAAAATAAATGGCATTTTGATATGAAAAATTCCAAGTTTTGCAGAAATATTACATAAATATGCTAGCTTGCATGTTGTACAATACAATATGACATATAACTTTAAAATAACTTGAAATTTCGCAAGGAAAAGAAGTGAATATAAAATAACTATGTTTTGAGTTACTTTGCAGAAAGACTTTGCAAAAGCATTTTCATCAACAATTGTAAATTAAATTGTTAACTCCGGATTGATTTTCTAAGAATGATAATATGTTGTCATATCTTTTAATGAATAATCATGCAAAGTGGAGCAATTTAAAAACACTATCTGATAATATTTGACCTTTTCAGCAGACAAATTTAAGAATTTTTTCAACTTCCAACTGCACTGCAATTACATGCACACCTATGCATTGTTTTTTTGCAAAAGACATAAGAAATACTTAATAAAGATAGACTGCATACCAGATGCAAGCCAATGTATTCAGTCCGTTGATATTCATGGAACAAGAGCCACAAATACCTTTAAAAAATATAAAAATGCATAGTTTGTTAGTCAGTACAATTTAAATGCACCTTTCAGTAACCCACAAATAAAACACATTGAAAATAACCTAATGCTAACAAACATAACAGCTATTTGAGAATATAATGCTTAACTTAAATTTGACACATTACTCTTGCATGGCAATTGCAATCAGATATATAACTACGAAGACAATGTTTAAGGTCATTCTTAAAAAGCTTTTTTATTGCAGAGAGACAAATTGTCAACATCTTGACATCATAAAAATTAAGACACCAAGACAGTTTGATGCGCGTATTAAACTATACTTAACATTTGCTTTGAAGCAAATGGTTTATTTGTGACATCATTAAAGGTGGGTTTACGTTATCTTTTATATTGGAACAGAATGATCAGTAACAACCCTGTAAAACCCTTAAATGATGGAAAAAGTTTTATGTTATCTCTGTCATTTTTAATTCGCTTAACTGTTGTTAATAATCTATGATTGAAGATGTTACTCCCGGTAAAAATATGTGCTCTGTAGCTCTTCATCATAAGATAAAAAACTACAGCAAAACTTAGCAAAACCTAGCAAAAAAAGAGCTTTGTTTAAAAAATAGCCATTTTTTGTCTACTTTTTCATACTCTTTGAACTTTTTCACACTAGCCAGTGCTAAGATTTAAAAAGAAGTAAGCTTGAATGTTTCTGGTACAATTGGGCCTCCACAGTTAGTTTCAAGATGGCACAAAATAACAGAACATGACATAGTGAAGTATGTTTTCCTTTTAAGTCCCCTTCAGAGTATAAACATTGGATAATGAATGAAAGAATAAACTCCATCATTTTGTACTAGCACCAAGTTACTCTGGATCTTTTGTCCAATCTATTTTCTAGGCCAAGCTGTTACTCATTGTACATCTTAGACAATGAACAATTTCTTCAATCAAATTCTCATGTCCAATTCAATATATGTCTTCTATCGTTGGGTCATAGTAACCAAGGTAAAAGTAGAGGCATATTTAAGATAATTCTAGGCACAGTAACTAACAGAATGGTATACCAAATTTCTTTGCAATTTTGTCTGAAAATTGCAATTTTGCTCTGTAGAAAAAAAGATGAGCATGGCCCCTGCCCCCCTCCCCCTGCCTCTTGGTTTTGTTGGTCCTGCATTTAAATTGTTCTTTTGGGCAGGGATGGAAAAGGTCCGGCAGCAACGCTGCCAGGAAATTTTTGGCAGAAATTCATTGCAGGAAATTGTTGATGTTTGCCAGGAAATTTTTAGCGTGAAATCTCCATTGCTTGATTTCAATATGAACATCAAATTCTTGTAACAATATTTCTACGGAATGCTGTTTTCTTGTGATATACATACATACTGTATAATTTTTGTTTTGCACTACTAACAAAAAGTGAAGATTAGCTTTCAATCATCTGGTCATATAAGCGTCTGTTATGCCAAATTTCCGTGCATGATTTTCAGCTACTAATTTAATTCCAGCAAGCTAAAACAAAGTTCATTCCTTTTTTTACATTAGCCATTCTATATATGTAAAAACACTTTAAGACAGCCAATCTCGTTACGTCAATTGTTTTAAAGGTGAACATGCCCTAAAACCTGTGTGGATGTGTCCATTATTATTCGTATTTTTCTACTGGCATTCGCATACATTTTTCCTCACTTGCTTTATAGAATGTAAGCGTTTTGGTCTTAAATCTTTGCCTCTAGTACCACCCCTGATTTAAAACATTTTTTTTAACCATTGAAAAATAAAATAGTATTCTTATATGTTGTATGAACTACTAGCTTTGATGATAAACCCACCCAGAGCAAGATGTATAGATATATCAATACTTATAAAGTATCTAGTTTGCTAGTACTGATATGAAATTTAATCAAAGTTATTATAGATTTTCAGATCTACTTTCTTTAATCTTGAAAACAAACTTTGTGTATCGTGCTTGATCACGTTCTCCTTGATCATCTAATACAGTATAAACAAAATGATTCCTGTTCGAATAGCTATGATCAAGACTGCAGGACCAACAATTAGTTCTTTTTAGTGTGACAGTTTGTTTTTAGGACAAATTTTTAAACAAATCAAGCAACTTGAAATATCAATTTCAGTGGCTGGAAAATTTCTTGAAGCTTCGCAGGAAGTCTTGAATCTTTTATTTTGCTGCCAGGAAGAAAAATTCTTTTTCAAGGCCTGCTTTTGGGTTTTACCTTGTAAATTTGAAAAGGCTGCCTCATGCGCAACTACAAAGTTGGTTGGTTTATCTAATAGGTTTCGTTTTATAGATCTATTTCTATTACATTTCAATTCTTAAAGGTGTAACAGACAGTCAAAGGCATATCTCAATAACAGAGATCCCAGCTCTGTCTCATATTTGTCCTCTCTTAACAATTCAATAAAAACCATTTGATGCATGAACAAAGCAGGCTGGCTAAATTTACTTTTTAAATTTGAATATTTAACCAAATTGCCGGTGCCTTTCTTTTATTCACGCATCATTTCAGGAATTAAGCAATAATCATGTTTTGGATGATTTTTGGCTTTTTATTCAGTGAAGAAGGTAAATTAACAAAGCAAACATCTTAAAATATGCTTAAGCTTTTATCTGACACATTTCACACAGTTTAGCAAATCAGAATATATGAAATTCTAACATGAACAAAATCAATACTGACCTTCACGGCATGACCTTCTAAAGGTTAATGTTGGGTCAATCTCATTTTTTATCTTGATGAGTGCATCCAACACCATCGGACCACAGCTAAAAATTATAAATAGCAAACTTAAATATATCACCAATGACTTTTGGCTAGCATGATGTTACCTGGACTGGTGCTACTTGAAGTTATCTGGAGCTTTAGAGATTATATCTTTCAAGTTAAGCTACAATGTAATAAAACTACAGAACTTTACAAAAGAATTAGTTTCGCCATGATTTTGAGTTGACAGAGAGTAGTAAAACCACATTTTGAACAGTACCAGCAGCCCAGAAGATTAAATCCTAGAACCTAAAAACCTAGAAATAAAATGGTGGTCATGCTTTCAAACATAAAAATTCTCTAAAATGCCATTATAAACTTCATTGGCAGAATTCCTAATTGACTGATTTTACTAGAGTTATCCCAAAATTTTTCATGAAGAAGAGTGTAACACATTATGCAAATAAAAGGTAATAGGCCGGAACAAAGTAAATCAACAGCAAAAATAAAACTCAATTTTTTAAATGTTAAAATGTATTGGATTCTGGTTATAGTTTTGCTTGTTCCTGTCTATTGCCTTCTATCTAAACTCATTGCTGGATTCGCATAATACAACAGTAACCTATCGTGCATTGCTACCTTCTTACATACTCAAATAAAGTCCTTTGCTAGAAACTCAAAATTAAATCTTTTGGCAAATGTATCAGTAGGGCATTATTTCATGCAAAAAGCCACCCTTCATCTGAGTTGCCCATTAAGTTTAACATTATACAAAAATTGAGCTATCTGGACGAAATTGCTACCAAACAAGGCACAAATCAGGAGAGATTATAAGATTCTGATAAACCATGGACTCAAGAATTACAAAAAGTGTTGCTGAAACTCTATACTGCTTAAACTTCTGATGCTTCTTTCAAATAAATTTAAGACCAATTTTTACATTCCTACTTAAGCCCCTAGTGTTAAAATAATAACATAACTCATTTCAGTATGCATTACATGGGTATTTTATCTGATAAACAAGTACTTACTCATCCAAGTTGACCTCAAAATCTTGCATTCTTGGCTTATCTCCTGGCTTTTCTGGATCCTAAAGGCATTTATAACAACCTTTTTATGAAATAAATAAACTAAATTCAACGCATTTCAATGTTCTGGTGCATTTAAATTTCAGAAAAAATCAGCAATTTGCCAACCAGATCATTCTTGGCTATGTAACTATAAGATATCTAGGAACATAAGACAAAATATCTCAAAAAACTGTTTAAATAACAAAGAAACAAACTTTTGGAAAAATATGTGAATAGAATTGGGAATAAGATTTTGCAAAAAAACCTAAAAATTTGGTTGGAACAAAAACCAAATGTTTATTTTTTGAAAAATTTTTCTTTTTCTTTTTTGAAATATTTCTCTTCAGGATAAATAAATGTTTTGTTATGAAAAAAATGGTAATCAGGAAATATTAATATTCTACAAAAAGTGGCATGTAACAACCTACCCATCTGTAAACTGAAAACGTTTTCATCCGAGGTGCAGCCTTAGCTGCAGTCTGGACCTCCCTTTTGATAACCTGACAAATAAAATAAAGAAACCATTATGTATGGGTGCAACAGATAAAACACACAAGCAGCAGTTGTGGTTCAGAATTAAATCACATCAAAATTCATATGGCAAGTTATTTAAGAGCTTAAATAATGATAAAATATATCTAAACATTGCTTGAGCTCTTAAATATCATAAATGGTAATAAAGAAGATAGACATCATAAAATCCAAAGCTCATTTTAGCAACCATGCATTATGTTTTACTCACTTAAACTAAGTGTCTTAAATTTATAAAAACTTTAAAAACAGAAATATTATAGCTAATTGTTACTTATGTAACACTAGAATACTCTGTACAAGTAATTGCAAATTTCACAATATGGCTATTGCAACAAGTCTGATCCATGGTTGAAGTTGATAAATGATTTTATCTTATTTTGGATCTAATGATACTTATTAAGATTGTTATTTAGAATCTGGACTTGAACACACTGTCTTGTTATGTAACATATACATACGCCGGTCTGCAGAGTATGGCACTTTTCGACGAGATCTCCAAGCCACACCAAGCCACACCCATCTTAGTTGCCACACCCAAAAATACCCGGTGTGCAACAGGTTTTGCACAAAAATATCTCCGGTGTGCACATGCCATACTCTGCAGACTGGTACATACGGCCTATTGGCAAATTGTGTCCTGCATTGCCACACCAGAAACATCAACTTTACAAAGTGAGAGTTGTTATAAAAAATATTCATGCAAAGTTACTTAGATAATCTACATTTAAAATGCACTCCGTAAGTACAGATCATAGCTTTTGGCCTCTAAATTAGCTCCAGTTTGTTGTTTAGGTAATAAGCAAGTTTCGTAAAATGGACCGTTATGAAAAATAATATAAAACCAAAATAAAATCATAAACCTGACTAATTACCGAAGCAGCGAGATTTTGTAATCTTTGTACTCCAACCTTTGATGCCATTTCACCTTATAACCAAAACTCAAAACAGCTAGACAAGTAGAATTTATAGCTTAGGCCAGTCTAGATCTGACAACGTTATCTGCGTCGATTAATATGATTGAATTTTAATCAAGAACATTTTAAATTGAGAAGAGTTTCATAATTTTTTGAATTATGTAACAAGATGGATTAACTGACAAAACAATACATACATTTGACGTAGATAGTTTCAGTAAGCCACTGCCGTACAGTCTGGCCGCCATCATGAAATGTCCGATAACTGGGCGCTACTCTGTTGCATAACTTCAAGGCCTCGCATCGGGCAATCTGTTTTTCTGTTTTTATTTGGGGGGGGGGTGTCAATCTGAAGGGTGAAAGCAGCGGTAGTGTTCAGCGAAGGGACTATATGTACTGAATTATGATATAGTTTATCGTAAATGTGCACTAGAATTTTATTTTCTTGCGACTAAAATGGAACAGAGCAAGTGTCTTGTTTGCGAAGCATGACAAGAGAAGGTGCATCGAGATTTTCAAAATATGCGTTTCCTGCAGTGGCGTAGATAGAAGTATTCAAAAGAGGGGCTAGAAGTTTGGATTTTCCAACAAAGATCTACATGTGTTGTTATTTTCGTAAGTTTTAAAGCGAATCCTAATCATCATAGTCTGCCTCTTTACAATAATAATAACAGTTATTTAAAAATTTTATACAGGATACAGGGCCGCATCTACGACTGTTGGGGCCCTGGGCCCAAAGTTGATTGGGGCCAATTAAAATATACCAAAATAAATTGTGTTGCGTGCATAGTACTTGGCTAAAGGTAATCATAACCAACCATTGTGACCACGCCTTTTATTCAATTCTTAAAATGGAATGCATTACTTTACGAGGCCCCCTAGCTCAATTTAAAATCAAGAGCACTTTAAATATTTTCAAAATTTTGCTCGGGGCCCCCTAAATCTAAGAATTTTAGAGGGCCCATAGGTAAATGCGTCACTGATAGGATATAAATTCCAATCTTACGTACATTGTTATTAATGCAGCATGTATCCTGTCAAAAATAAAAGTAATTACAAACTTAGATGAGTGATAAAAATTATTTAAATTACATTTCAAAATATTTTGTTAAAAGTTCATTATATGGCTCATAAGCCTCGCAGCTCGACGATTTAGAATTGATTGTAGATTTTCGTCCCCCATCGACCGAAAACTAGACTTGGTAACTTTTAATTTTGCTTTTGGGATTTTGAGCTGATGTTCTGTTCACGTGCTTTGATATGTAACATGATAATAACATCCATACTGTCTATAAAAACGAGCCGTTAGATGACCTAAGAGAAAATCAAGAAACAATTGTATCGAGAAACATCGATACAAAACAAAGAAAATCAAGAAACAATATATTCTGCTAGCAATATTTCTTTTGGCAGTTTTGAACGTTAAATAATTAAAAAACGCCACTTCCCTCCCAGGATAAATATTTCCATCTTTTTTGGCAATAAAACGGTAGCATCAAGATTATTGAGGTGCCTTCTCTCGAAGCAAGAAGTCCCATCAAACGCCGTAGAGCATGTCAAACAAAATACAAAATGTAAAAATAGTAACAATAAAAGATTTTGAAATCGCGGTGAAATTTTTAAAAAATGGTTATAAAATAAGTTAGGGGCCCTTTTTGGTCGGGGCCCCCTAGATCGAATTAAGGTGCCCTAAACTGTGTTACGCCACTTGGGGTGTGCCAAATATGGGGAATGAAATGTGTAGTCGTGTATTTACATTTTTCACCAAAAGGGTAAGTAAACAAGCGCACGTATCCATAAACTTACGTTCAAGTTCACAAAGTATTGGGACACCTTCGAACTTTCGGAGACATGTTATGCAATGGAATTTCTAATCCTCTCTCATCAAATACGAACGTGTTTCGATCTTATATAGAAATGCTAATTATAAATAATTGAAAACATGTCGTTAGATAAATGGCATCCACAAGAGCTCCATTAGATAAATGGCAAAATCCTGAACATCTTTATTTAATAGGCAGCACCGCAAAGAAGAAATTACTTCTTTTTTAAATATAAAGTATGACATCGAAATGCGGGCGTTGTTATTTACTCAGAATCATGACCCCTACACTTCAAAACATAATGGCACATCCCCATCACTTTGGACCCAAAGATCCCCCTCGTAGAAGCTAAGTGACCATTCTGGCTCATAGAGCTGAATTTTCAGATTGAAAACAGAAATAAATCCAGTTTGTGAAATACTCGAATAGGCACAAACAACACACATGAAATATTTTAGAAAAATTCACCAGCATAATGTAAATAGATTTACAGATTTTCAGCTATCGCCACTAATGAGCTAATGATAAAGACATCGTTTTTTCAAATTGAACACAAATTTTAGTCGTGAAGAGTGTGGTGTGTAACAACCGTGTAAAACTATTTATTTTCTTACTTTTCTAAACTAATTTTTTTTAGATATGTGTGGTTGTCAAGAGTTGGTGTAGCCCAGAACACTTCATAACGTCAAAACGTCAAAACGCTCTTTTCTATGCACACTTTCTATTAGGGAGTATAGTTTCTAAGAAAATTAAGGTTCAAAACAGCTGAAACTTGGGAATAAATACAAGGCTCAAGCCTTATCAAGGATTGAATTTTTTGTTCATTTGAGATTTTTTAAAAGCAAAGTAGATGCCAGCTTCACCCTATTTGTTTTAGAATAGACGTATCCAGCCTTGGAGTCATTGACACTATAATGCAACTCAGTTAGACCTTGCGTCGCTTAAGAATAAGTTAAGAATAATCTTAGGCTTAAATAAAAAATTAAGACAATCGAGGCTCAGCAAAAAATTAGGTATTCGTAGAGAAAATTGTGTAACATTTGGTAAGCAATAATATCCCTACCCTGGGTGGCAGAGCCTCAGAGAGTCAAAGGATGAAGAACGGGGGAAGGGTATTGCGAAGGATTCTCCTAGTTGGGTTATAATATCCCTGGAAGTTGGGTTATATAAAACTGTGGAGTATTTTGCAGTACCTTGAAATGCTCAGCATGATAACAGTCTGTATTCCATTAATCTCGCCTACTAACCAAACAGTGCAACCAAATGTAAAGCTATAACGATTTTGGAAAAATAGAAATTGGCTTAAGGCTTTTATACGTGCAAAATAATATTGACACATTGATATTTCAAAGGGGATAGCTGAAAACCATTTGCATTAATCATTGCAAACTATTACTATTATGAAGTGTTGAAAACTAATGTAAATAGAGAACGAGCATCCAAAAGCTGTGTTTGATTTATTCATCATGTTATCTTGTACTATCCTAGGGTGCCAATGCAAAATTCTAGCCATAAACGCCACAAAAAATAAATGTAGCTCCCAAATGTCACTGGAACCCTTCAAATTTTATTGATCAATGTCTTTGTAGCAAAAACAACCATATATGCCAGTCTAAAACAGAAAAAATATTATGGTTACAAGGATTTCAGGGAAATAAGTGTCCAAAAGTTTCTGGTCCAAAACGTAAGTGTCTGGGTTAACACGGCCATATTAACAACACGATTTCAATGGAATTACCTAAACACTTTTTATAAGAAAAAGAAGAAATTTTATTTGAATATCGTGAATCGAAATTTGTAAAATAATTGCAAAGCTCATTTGATCGACAATTTTACTTTTTACCTATATGAGAATTTGACGACGCTAAGTTGCCACTCCGAATTTCACGCTTAATGTGATCCTCAAGGAACATTTGCCTTTATGATTTTACAGGGCCACGAATTTGAGGGTGGGGAAGGGGCAAGGCTAGAAAAAGTAAAAGGCCAAGGCTTCCTTCCCCTTTTACTGCAACTAAAAAACTACTTGCTTCGCAGAAAAGTGGGGGGAAAACGAAATACAACCTTTGCACTCAGTAACTTCCTTGGTTGTATGGAGTGTTTGCACTGGTAGGTGGCATGTAGCCCCCGGATGGTGCATATGGTGGAGCGACTTCTTGCTTGCCACTCGGTGGTCCTGCGGGGCCACCAAGATCCTCGTAAGATGTTTCGCCGGCACCTAGAAAAAGAATACGTAATATACAAGCACCTTATGCAGTTGGTCTCTTGGGGAGATGCCTGATGACGGACGGTAAGTACGAGAGGCCCGTTGACGGAATGAATAGACTGGCGAGTTTACCCGCCAGCAGATCGAATCTAACTGGGGCCTAGCCCTAAGACAGCCCTGAACAACTCTGAGATAGCCTTTGCATCTACACCAAATGTGACAAAAAACTTGTAATGTCTTGAGAAGATGGACAGTGCAGGACAGGGTAGTGCATGACAGGACAGGAAAGGACATGAATGGAGAGGAAAGATAATTGAAAGTAAAAGAGAGGGCAGGACACATTTTTATTTCAAAACCATATATCAGACAATAGGTATTTATCACTCTTACATCATTTTGCTGTATATCACAAGCTTCCTCGATGGTCTTCCATAAATATGTAAACTGACTTTATGGAAGACCCAAAGGGAAAACCTGAACAGTGAAAAGACATAACAATAAACCAATTCGCCTAGATAGAGAGAAACTAGAACAAGTGCGAACTAGAGCAATATATTTGCACTTGCATCTCATATCAGAGCAGACAAAATCCAAGATAAACTTTGGGTCTCGGGCCGAACAGGATAAACATTTATTGAACACAGTGTAAAAACTCTATTGTGTTTATATAAAATGTATTATTCACATAAAATGATCTCGCGGGCCAGATATAATTACAAGCAGGGCGGGATATGGCCCGCGGGCACTGTGTTTGACACATGTTTAGTGATTCTTATTTCCTTTTGATCTATACTCATTTTTTTAAAAGAAACTGGCTATAAGAAACGAGTACTGGACAGTCAGAAAAAATTAATAAACTTCAGTACTCGAAGCAAAGAAATTAAGAAACTATTAAATCATAATAAAACTGAGAACAACGAAATTTTGTAAAATCTAAGAACATGGTTGCCTCGTTGGCCTAGAACTTAAGACGCAAGGGGTAAAAATATACTTCCCACATCGTAATACAGCATCGGAACGAAAGGAAAAAAGGTCACGAACATTTCATAACATCATTCATGACATCATAATTAAGAAACTCTTAAGAAACAATGAGTATTGAAATTTCCAGAACATTAAGAAACTGGAGTACTCAACATCAACCTTTGTTTCTTATAAAAAAATTAGTGTATTCTATATGGTCTTACCTCTAATCTGGTATTCTTTGAAAATGAATATGCCACTCACTGGCTGCAAAAAAATTCACCGAGTCAATAGCCGTCGCAAAAATGTCTATCTATCCATTGGTTATTTCTCAATACCAACCAGTATAACCAACAAGTATAAGAACAACTAATACACTACTGGCAACAAACATACTACTGAGAAATGTGTTGAAGTGCCAAAGATATTGATTTGCTGGCTGTTATGCAAGTTACCCAAGGACAAATAAAGAGCATGAGCCTCTTTGTGACGTTCCGAGGATGACCGAAAAATATATGACTCGTACAGGGCCTACGCCACGAGTTTAAAAGTGGGGGGGGGGCCAAGGCTAGCAAAAGTAGAGAACCAAGGCTTTTTCCCCTTTTACTGTAGCTTTAAAACTACTTGCTACGCAAAAAAGTGGGGGGGACCATGGCCCCTCCGGCCACCCCGGTGGCGTGGGCCCTGTCGTAATATAGCTTAAAGGGTTAATACATGGAAATATAATTTTCATAATATTCTGCTAAGAGAAGCAGAAAAAACAGTTAAAGATAAAGCCCATAAAATAGGTAAACAGAAAATGGTTTTAACTTACCTTCAACAGCAGATTAATAATGGCCATTCTGGACAAAGAGTCAAGGTTATAAATGATTGGGCATGAGATATTTTTCTCGCAAGTGTACAAATAATTCCTCAAAGACTAGAAGGCTATACTTATCTCCAACAAAAGTGCAATAAATAGTTAGTATCTTCAATCTAGGTATCTGAGTATCTTTAGATAGATATCTGCCTCATTACATAACTTGGTGTCTACAGATGACGAAGAAGGTGACAATATAAAAAACAGAAGACATTGAATCGATATGACAGTTTTATCAAGTGAAGGGTGGACTGTCTCCGATCTTGAAGACAGAGCCGTCTCTACGGTGTGCCATGGCTGGGGCATGGGGAAGGGGATGACACCCCGTTTGATAAAATTTTTAGTACCTGGAGCACCCCCCTTGAACATAATAGCTAGTGACGGCCCTGCCTGAAGACTCACAAATTTAAAACTTTTGAAATAGACAAATTTAGCATTTTTCATCTTACTATTTTTGCATAAAAAGAAGACAATATCCCACTTCCATGCCGTCAATACACAGATAATGGATTCGGTGTTTATTCTAATGCAAAATCTTTTCAAAGCATGCAAAATTATGCCAATTTACTTCCGGCTTGTCAGGCACTTAAGACTAGCGGCAGCTGTCTTGAGAAATTGCCTGTATTTTGTATTTTCATGCAGTACGATATTAGGCCGGTTTTCAAAACATTGTCGCAAAGCATGCCGGTTGCGCAACAGCCTACTAGTGCCAACCTTGTTAACGCAGTATAAGTCCATATTACAATAATTAGAGTATTATACCACAGAATAGGAAATAGGCAGAAGGGTAACCCTCGTCGGTTCTTTGTTGTTTTTGAAGCCTGAGTCAACAATAGAATTTCTTAATTCCCCTTTAACCTCGATTTCATTAGACAAACTTAGCCATGACAAATTATCGTACATTAATCAGATTGTAAACGAATTATGATATAAAATTGAATTTGTTTACTATCATGGGACATTTCGTCTCAATAAAGTTGTCTACTTTCCTTCTTTTTTTGAATTTCCTCGACAGAAACATGTTAAGCCTCGTATAAGTTAACGCATGGGCTAGAATTTTCAGGCTTCACCTGATGGACAGGATGTACCCTTATTCCTAGCCTAATTCCTATTCTGTTACCATACTTAGAATAACACTGACATTCCGTCTATTAGCAAATAATTCATTCACAGAAAAAGGATACGCTGCAGTAAACTGGAAACGGGCAGAATTCCCGGCTGTAACCAAAAAAATTCATCTTTAAGATTTTGAAACTTATTTGAAAATAACAATTATTGTTGACATTGGTTCAATAAGTAAGCATTTGAGTTAACTGGTGTATCTCCCCATACTGAACCATTTATCAAATAAGAAACATGGTTCTTTAGGCATCAAAATAATTACACGATCTTTTATTAATAAGAAACTGGTTTATAAAAAACTAGAACTAGCATGCCCAAAAATTTAAGAAACTTTGGTATTAGGCTTAATAAACTGTAAAATTTCCGTTTTTGAAAAAAGAGTCCAAAGGTTTGCATATTGTTGATTTTTCTTTGGAAAAGGTAACATGCTTTGGATTCTGAGCTGCATGAGTTTTTTGTGACGATCTGCATTTGAAATTCTTCTGAAAATGCTCAACTTCAAAACAGTAAGGCAATTTTAGGTCCCGAAATGAAAAACCAACTAAGAATCTTTTAGCACTAAAACGCCAAAATCGGAGACCAAATTAAGAAACTTTTAGTACTTTGTGCTGATCCAAGTTTCTCATAAAATAAAAGTGTGTTTACACAGTTCGCCCTGTTGCTTTATTAAAAACTTGAATGCAGCTGTCATAAATTTTAATTCAAAGCATGATTCAGATCAACTTTATAGATCAACCCAAAAATTTTTCAACAATGGAGCAGCAGATTTAACTAAACCATCCTTTCTTAAAAATGGCCATGCGTAATATGGGATGACATATGAAAACGATTGAAATCTAATTTCCTCAAAAATTACCCCTAAGGTGATAAAAAGACTTGTCCTGGTTATTTAACAGCAAGGTAGGACCAATCATAAATTATATTGAATAACATAGAATGTTTCCTTCATGCTCCAAAATAATTGTATTACGGAGCAAAGCTTAATTGAATTAAATTATATAAATGAAACTAGCTTAATTTATATCCAGTGCAGTCAGTATATGGAACACAAAAAACTTCCCTCTGGTAAAATTAATAATGGTTTATCTGAATATTAACCATATCTTTACGATATTAACTGAGAAAAAGGCTCTGTTAAACTGCAAAAGAGCAATATCTCCAGAAAAACTGACTTTAATAATTTTTCTAGCGGATTAAAAACATATAAAGAAGATAAAATGTAAGAAACAAACTGTTACTGCATTACATCTCAAGATTATATAATAAAATTCAAGCTCTTTAAAATCCAATAACACCTGGTGCAAGATCTTTTTTGTTCACAGCTATGACAAGTTGTTAATCAAGTTTAAAGGCATTGAGTCATGGTAAATAGGCTTTCTCTATAGGGGGTCATTTGGTTTCCGGGTGATTGCTGCTGTTTCATGTGATATTGGCATCCGTTGTTGACAACTTGCTATTGATGGAAACTGTTATGTTAATCAGTACCAGGTGAGTTCATGTGACCAGTTCAAGGTCAACCAATAGCATCGCAGTCATGGAAATCATGACTCAGCGGATTTTGGCACTTAGGGTATACCCAGTCTATTTATCATGACTCAATGCCTTTAATGCGAATACATACCCTTATTGAAAATTGGAAAATACATTCCAAGTAGTATGATATCATTCAAGATTGTGAACAAATGTATTCCTAACAACTGAAAAAATTTGAAAGTCATATATCAATTGCATTCTTTAAAGTGCAATAATAATAAAGATATATTCTTAATCACATATGTACAGAATTATATATCTGAAGAGCTTAGAAGTAGAGTATCAGGGCTTGTGTGCAGAAAAGATGACTTCCCTGGTTTGGTCACATTGAGAGAAAATATGAGTGTGCTTGGTTAAGTAAATGCAGTGCTTTTGTGGTAAAATGTTGAGTTGGTAGAGATAGGACCAAGAAAACATGAACAGAAAAGATAAGAAATGAATTGAGAGAAAGAGAAGGGTCAGCAAAGACCTGGCCAATGAATGCTAGCTAGGGGTGGGGGTGGCAGCTGCCTATTGTATTGCTTCCCATTTCATACACTGTTATAAAGGAAATAAACTGCAGTTTGACAATTATTTTGGGGCTTCAGCCCCACCAGCCCCCTATGCTTCCAATATAGCCCTGACAAAACTGGTGCTTGACAAACTAAGCACCTTTAATTTCCTAGATGTTCAACTGGGCACTTGAGGAAAATAAATGTTACAAATTAAAAGCTAACTTGTTTAATTAGTCAACGGTAGTTGGAAAATGAATATAAAGAAATTCTGTTAAAAATTGTGCAGTTTAACTTTGGAAGTGCTTAATCAAACTCTAGCCACTCTCCTCACAAGACCTGCTACAAAGTTAAATCTCCCTTGAAATACAGTTTCAAATTGAATGGGCAAGCTAAACTCTGTATTTGAGTTCATAACATATAAACAACTATCAATTCAAGGTTTAGATTCCAAGAAGCCTAAAAATAATAAAATCATAAAATCAAAATTTAAAGACTAAGCACTTGGACTTACAAACTGCATTGGCTCATTAGATGACTTATCCTTCAATGCCCAAAGACCCACAATCAGTACTAGATAGTTTGAATATATGTAGCACTCTCCCATCCATAGGTAAAGGGCTGCCCTGTTAAACAAAGAAAAATACATCAAAAGTCATTTTGATATGCAAAAAATAATCATCTTTGAATTTTATTTTAGTCAAGAAGGAATGTCAAATTTAGATCCAGCTACTGCAATTATTCATAGTTAGTGTGATGCATTAGCCCTCAGTGGACCAGTGGTTTCCTCTCTCTGGCATTCAAATGAACCTACTCTACTCTGCCTTCCAATGCTATCCATCCATTAAATTCACCACCTGTCTCATCTCCCTTTGCTTTCACTCTCTCTTTCTACTCACTAAAACTATCTTGTCTATCTTAGTTTCAAATGCCCATACTTTACCAAAATTTATGCAAAGAATTCCCAATCTATTACAATCGCTGCTTTGATTGATTACAGCGTGATTGATGACACTTTCAGGAAAACGATTTTGCATTTTTTTACTAGTTGTGCTAAAAGGCCTACTGCATCATCCACCAGTCAAAGAAGGTAAACTTGTACAATTGAAGAAACAATTATTTAAGGTTTTTCAATCAAATTTTCTCTTATAAACGAAGCTGTCTGACGTGCACTGTCTGAGTTCAGTCACACGCCTAGAAACAACAGCAGTGCAAAAGTGTTACAGGCTCTTTGTAGCCTATTAAAGATAAAAAGGACCTTCAATTAGTTGTTTCTGCAAGGTTCATCATTTTAGATACAGGAGATTCATTCTCTCAACCATTTTACATTTTTTTTTCTTAATCGTATTTTATATTCTTCCCTTCCCTTCGCCAGATGTTCACATAAAATGTGGGAGACTTTGAGGGTCTGTTTCAGCAGTTATCTTTCATCATGAAACATCCATCAACGAACAACACAACACAGCAGATACCGACACCTCTAAATACATAGGCAATGAGTCGTGGCTTTAACATGCCATTAATTACATCTAAAGAATTGAGATTGACTTTTCATTCTTCTAGATCAGATATATAATTTGCAAATTTTTCTAAATCAGATAATGTAAGGCCTAGTGACGAAATAAAATGCTGAATAAGGACAAGTTTGCGAAAGGCAAAGGAATATAAAAAACTTACCATGTAACCAGGATGAAATGTGAAATCAAAAAGTACTACAAGGAAAAAAGATGCAATAGTTTAAATAAATGTGCATTGATACCAGTCTGATAATGACAGGATTAAATCATGGGTAGAACACTTCGCTGTAACTTGCTGTGAAGAACCTAATAAATTGTGTGATTCTACAATTGCAGCATGTTGCGTTGACCTGACCCAAACAACATTTGTGTCATATGTTCTCGAGTTAAATATGTATGTGGCTTCATGTTTAGCATGCCAACTAACAAAGATTTTATGTATGCTAAAAATGTTTTCTGTTAGTTTGTACTCGGAAAACCAAAGAAACCCAACCTGAGTGTACGCTGAAGATCTTCAGGCCTAAGTACATGAAATGCACCCTGGCAATCAATACAGCAGCTTTTTGTTATTAACATCAATGTGCACTCTGAACCAAAGGTCACCCTTTCTTTCTTTCCCCAATGCATGAATCCTCCCCTCCAAAATATTTTCTAATAATAAAAATCAATGTTTTTCTGAGCATCGTCTTACTGTCTATTCTGAGCGGTATAGTAATTTGTTAAATTTTAGTCTGGGAGATGCATTTTCGCGTCGGACCCAACCATGGTGGGTCCTCCTATCTCACTAAACTTCATTCTTAGCCCAACCCCAGATTCCATTTTGTGGCCCCCCTCCTCTGTCCGATTCAACGGTGCAATCCCATTCTTGAAAAACTTTCAAGTTTTTGAAAAACCTACTATCTAATTACTACTAAAGAATAAAAAAACTTTTAGCCATGTTTGTATATCATACTTCATAAATATGATGACACTAGGCTGATAAAATAGCCCATAAGCAGGGTTTATTTTAACGTGCAGTGATAACCAATTTGTGCAGCAATAAATCGTTATTGTGCAGTGATAAACTCAGATTTTGTGCAGTGATAAAACTAAAATAAAGAGATTTGGCATTGAAAAAGCAAAATTAAAGGAACTACCAGTAGACACATAAAGCTGATAAAAGTGCATTGCAGTATTAAAATCTGGAACATAAAAGTACTAATGATTAATGATCAGTAACAGTGACAATGATCATAATCTATGAAATCTCTTTGAAATTTGTTCAGTATCTAAACGTTATCGAGTTTTTTCATAATCCAGTTAGTTTGATGTGTGTGGTCATGAAAATTTTCAAAAGGGGACACCCAAATTTTCAAAAAATTTTGAATGCAGTTTTAAAAATTCCCTGAAATAAACTCTGCCCATAAGCAGTGGCATAATGGACTAAGTACCTTTAGTTAAAAAACCAAGGAGCCCGAAACAAAAATTTGCTCTACGTTTTTTTTACTCTGAAGCTGGTATTTTGGATAGAATAAACGAGTTCAAAGGGCCGCCAGCCTGTATGAAACATCAGTGTAATTGAACAGAATTTTTTTTTTATTAGTATTTTATGTTTTGTCTATGGTATTTTCTTGAAAATAGGCCAACCTTTGAAAATAAGCCAATTCAAAATAGGTGGATGTTTTACCGAACCATGATCGAGAAGGTCAAATGTTGGGATTACAAAATTTTACTCCATTCATATTCACATTTTTAATCAAAACTTATTCATGAAACTTTGAATTCAAGTTGCAAAAATTGATTTCCCTTCTAGAAACACGTGCTTATGTACAAACTCGATATATAGATAGGGTGCGAAAACCGACTTGCCCACTTCAGGGAAAACATAGCCATCCGCCACTGGTGGAACTACCGTGATAACCTACATATTTGAAGATTGTCTCCTTGTCTTGAAAATATTCTCATCATCAAAAATGCTGTTAGAAGTCTCATGGATCTAGCAACCTTTAACCAGTTTTCTAGCAGAGTATAATCATATTTGCAAAATTTTGCAATGGAGTGAATCTTTTTTTTAGGTCTTGTAAGTCAAAAAGGTGCTGTAAAATTGTGAGCATTTTGGAAGAGTAAGGTAGAAAATCTTGTCTCAGAGTTGATGATTTTTAGGCTTGACAATGTGCTAATGGCCTTGAGAACTTATAATGTAAAGTAAGCCATACAATTTTGTGTCATTTTTTGATAGAAATTGAAATGTCTTTCAAATTCACTTCCTGCATTTTTCAATCAACCTGGTGTTTCGTATCTATTCAAACCCCAAAAATCACTTAAATTTTAAGGCAATCTGGGAATTCCAGGGAGACATTTTTCCGTTGAGTCGATACTAGAAAAACCCCAAGTCTCACTGATTTAAAAAAGTTGGCAACCATGCTTACACAAAACAGTATATTCTCCCTGTAACAGCCACAAACATTATTACCCCACTGCTCGTCTGGCTTGCTCAAAGAATACATTGCAACTAATCTGATTTTGGAAGAAAAGTTGAAACGTTTAATTTTCGGGTCCCTTTCACAGAAAGTTAAGTCTGACCCGGATTGTACTGTAGAGAAGGCGGTGCCCCTCCCCAAGTTTCTTGAAATCCTTCTTGCCAACAAAGATTCAAAATAGGGCAACAAACCTTGATAGGCACAGTTGGAAGACTTTGCAGCATTTTGTTCAGTGTGTTTACTGATATCCAGAACTTTGTTTTCTTTTAAGGATTGCAGAGTATAGTGGAACCACCAATGAAACTGAAAGTCACGGACTGTTCAGAAATGAAAAAGAACAATGAAAACTACTGTTCCTAAAAGAGGCTATTTCATTATGGCACCTTTGATGCATAAAATCGATGAAATATCATAATTAAAAAGTTCTTGGGCGGCCAGGGTCCACGCTACCGAGGGGGGGGGGGGCAGGGACGAAAACAAGTTGCTAATTTTGGGGGGGGGGGCGTGGAAGTATGAAAATTCCAACTTCAAGTGATAAATTTTTCATTCGACCAGTAGATCTGTTGTACCTACCAAATTGATATTTGTAAATAGCCCGAGCACCATAGTTCTATTTTCTTTATAATTACCAAATCTTTACTCAATAATTAGCCTAAAGCATAAAAGCCTAAATCTCTAAATTTTGATTAACATGAAACAAACATTAAACATACTGTAAGAAGTAAAGCAACATTTAAGCAAAACCAGTATTAGATATACTTAATGATTAGTAGTATTCTTTCAGATCAATTGATCAATTTTATCTAAAATACATTTTTCACGATATAGAAGCACCAAGAATTTGGGCCTTTTATTTTCGTTCTTGATCGAAGAAAACTACCTTTAAACTTTTCAGAGGGCCAAATGCCTTTTCATTCTTTACAACTGAAATGATGATTTGAGAACAAACTTGTGCATATGCCTGATTCGAAAGATGAAATACTCTTCTTTGATCAAATACTTCTACTGCAGTTTTTGCAATGTGTTCTTGCTCCACAGCAGTTTTGTCATAGGAATTTATGATAAGGACTCAAGGACATTAACAAATAACAGGGGGAGTTTAGCATAAACTCGTTTTTTATAAGAAGCGTTGAGAATTTTTAGTACTGAAAGATTCTTAATCTTTTATTGAATTAACTACTCGTAGTTTCTAAAAAAATTCCCACTCTAATATTTTCTGATCAATGCCGGTATTATTATTCCAAACTGTAAGTTTCAAGTTTCTTATCCGTAAGTTCACCTTGCCTGTTCGTAATTTGATTCAACTCCCGTCAGAAAGAAAGAAAAAGAAAACGGGGCAAGTGTGCAATTTGGACCCAGTGGAGACGGGATTCACAATAGAAAACGATTGGATGGATCAGCTTCAGCCTGTGAATTTTAATGTTTAGAATTTTTATAAATTAAAATAAAAAAACTTCTTAAAATATAAAATTCACAAGTTTGGTCTTAAGAAAAAAATTCCAAGTCAACCGTTACGTTTTCCAACTGTAACTGGATTTTCCAAACTTTGGGGGGGCGTTACGCCCCCCACGCCCCCCTATTATTTACGTGCCTGGGGGGGGGGGCAGAGGGACCATGGCCCTTCCACTTTTCAGCAAAGTAAAAGATCTGCTTCGACTTCAGCTCCCGTCCCGGTTGATAGTAAACTTTGCAGCTTCTTGAAAATGGCCCCCTCACTTTCAAAATCGTAGCGTGTGCCCAAGAAGCGTAGTGTGAAGCCAAAGAAAAGTTTCCAAATGATACGGAAGTAGCTTTCAGAGCGACGTTATTAAGTTTGACATATTTTGAAACCCTCAATAGAAAAGTGAAATTTCATAGGCAAAAGTTTACACACATAAAAGCTAATAACATAAAAGTTAAATTCAGAGTGGATAGCTAGCAATTAACAAGACCAGTGGTGTTTTTACATGGGGTCAGGGGGCCCGTAGCCCCCCAGTTATTTTCTTTGCCCCTTGTTTGCCCCCCCAGCTTTTTCAAAAGTTTCTATTAAAAATTCAGTGTTTTCTTCCAAAGCTGTTCAATCGTTTTTTGACTTTGACTGTTTTCGAGACTGCTTTTCTTTCCCACCTCACAATAATGCCAACGTCTGTTTGGTGTATTGTACCCAAATGAAAACATATCGAAATTACTTTTTAAAGCATGTAGTTTTCTAATGTTCATGCATTATTGTTAAACAGATAGGATTCAAAACTCATAAGGATCCCGAACCTTTAGGGGCCCACAGCAACAATTTTCCTTTGATATTTTTCCTAGAGGACGCAGCTGTTCGTTATGTCACTTATAAATCTATTTGGCATAATGATAACAGCCTTGATAGAGCTGTATCAATGACATACTAATCTAGGGGGCGCTAAAAATCGTTGCCTTGTAGCTAATTTTGAGTCACCACTCCATTCTTTTAGCTCCCCCTCCCCAGATTTTTAAGGCTAGTGTAACGACACAGGGTTCCCTTACGGACAGTATCACGTGACAATTGCACCATTGCACCATTGTGATTGCATCAGCGTCTGTAAATATGTTTTTTGTATTACGTAATTATTATTTTAAGGTTTGCTTAGGTTATATAAAGGGCTGTTTCATAAAGAGAAGAATTTTGAACTTATCCGCCTTTGCCTTATTTTTGATAATTTCTGCCTACAAAGAACTCACGTTTGTAAAACCCACCTTTTAAGAGGTTTTACGCTAGATTCGCCACTGAACAAGACTTCTTCGTCTATTTTATCTGCCATGATCTCTTTTGATGCTATTTTGAACAAGGCCTGCACAAGATTAAGGCAGGAGGGGCAGTGTTGGTGCTGAGGACAAAATATAGAATTTTTCTACTGACATGATCGATTATTCGTAGGGGGGGGGGACATAATAAAATATTTATGGTTAAGTGCCACCCATACAGCTGGGTTTTTTACCACCAAAGATTCTAAACATAGAGAAAAAGTTGATGAAATTAAATTGGTAAAAAATTGTTTTGTTACTATTTACAACGTTTAGTTTTATAAAAATCATGACTGTTATAAATTGGTAAGCCCCCCAGTGTAGGCGCCCTGCTTTTGTCTGACAAAATTGTAATTGTGATGCAGCTGTGGCAGGTGGGGCTGCAACTACATACTATCCTTACAGCTTAAGCAGGTTTGGGTACAAGTTTCAAAGTTAATCAGCAAAGACCCCGCACTAAGAACCAACTGTGTAGCACGATAAAGCTGTGTTTGGCATATCATCTTGATACATTCTTCTTTTCTTCTTTCTTCTTCATTATACATTTCTTCTTTTTCCCAGCAAAAGTCCTATATGTGCCGACGGTCAAAGTGTGAGAGCAATTTGCCCCGCGATCCTGGCTGCAAGATTTTGGAGTTTTCATGTTTCTAAATGCAATTTTAGATCATGGCCCCAAAAGCATTTCAAGGGCATTCTTTGGTTATACACGTGGCAGAAAGGGCAACACGGTAAGCTTCAAAAGGGCATTTAACCTGAATTTGTGAAAAGTGGTGGGGACACGTGCCCCTAGTGCTCCCGTGCCCCCCTTCCTACGTCTATGGCACAGGCCCTCAAAAATTAGGAAAATATAATCCATTTTCCGATTCTTCTTATCCTTATTGGTGCCCCAAACAACATTGATTGATGCAAGTTTAATACGTATTAAATTAACTAAAGAGATCACTCCAAAGGGAGCATTGATCTCTAAAAAACTCTGACTGTCCGTTCAGTCTCAATACTCCGTGGTTGCAGAATCATCCAGGATGTAATAACGAGAATAAAAATTACATTCAACAAAAGTAAATCAAACAATTGCTTACTTCAGTGTGTCTCTTTTATTAAAGCATAAAATAAGCTCAACAGTATCCTCGTTCTGATTAGGGGCAAAAAGTCAGTATTTTATAAGACGAAGTAGGTTTTATATGACAGAATTCATTTAATTTAATTTATTATGAAAATTTATCTCGTAAGATTGGATTCTCGTCGCCGTTTTGCTTTGTTTCTGAATTTTACTCGTTTTTATATGACAGCCCCCGTGCTCCCCCCCCCTGCAGCTACGTGGCTTGGCTAAGGGGGCCAAGGCTAACTAATTAAGAACTTGAATTAGTCCCACGGGGGCACAGCCCCCCCCTGTTTGCAAAAAGTATAAAAAAGTGCCCCTTTTTGAAAAATATATTGCGTGTATTTTTTCAATGCCAGATATTCTGCCTTTAGAAAATAAGTAAAATAACATAACTCTGGACGTTGTTGGAGGACCATTCATTGAAAATTCCTTAATAAAGGTAGCTCAAAAATCTTCCGACCACCGCCTATGGCCTAAAAGTAGACGTTGTAAAACTTATTATCTTGGTTTTCTGTCATATCATTAATTTAAACTCAGACTCATGTCCTATGTTCAACATTGAAAATTTCATTACAATATATTCAGAAATATAAGAGTGAACATATTACATATAAATGCAATTATAAGGAATTTAACTTATGAATAGGATTAATTATGCATATAAACTTGTAAAATAAAATATTCTCATTGTTATATTTATGGCTTTTGAATTTTTACAATGTATTGCTTTTACACTATACAACTTTAACTAAAAAAAATCTACGAAATATTTACGAATCAGAGCTGACAAACTTGCCAAATTAGGAAATACAACTGGTTTATTAGCATCGATTAAATACAAGCTTTTTACAAGGTCCTTGCATATAGCTAAAATCATGGCTATTATCGATAGATAACTGAATCTCTTCTGTGTCATCGTTGAGCACAAAGATGTTTTAATTATCCGTGCTAATAGAACAGAATGCTCTGGCGTCTTTGACAGGGGGGCCTTGGGCTTGTGGCGGAGGGGGCTTAAGTGGCGGAGGGGACTTGTGGCGTGGGCCCTATAATGTATGCAGACTACCAAGTTTGTTGGGTAAGCAGAAAGAAACTTTGAATCTGCCGAGTAAAAGACCAGTTCATGCCTCTGTAGAAATGCCTCAGTAAAAGTACACAACTGTTCTGCACAACAACAGCAACAGCCAAATCTAACAGTGGAGGTGGCAGTATGGCGTCTGAGGGAAACGATGACCTGGTTTTAGACGCTATATTCAATCCGAGTTTACCAGTAGTTGCATGCGAAAATACAGTGAAAGACTGTGATCAGTGTGTTGAAGAAGAATATGTTGAAGCCAGTGTATTAAGCAAAGTGAAGGAATTGGAAATCGAAGGGGTAAATGCAGCAGAATCGGGTGACTTCGATAAAAGTTTGGAGGCATTTAACAGTGCCGTCAACTTAGCTCCCAACCATGCATCAAGCTATAATAACAGAGCTCAGCTTTATAGGCTAAAAGGTATAATTTTTTGTCATATTTTAGAGAGCTCATTCTTCTTCAGCTTCATTAAAGAGCAGATCAGAACGAACATAACGTTAACATAACGTTATACACTCGCATAAACATAAATGTAGGTAGGCAGTTCCTTTTGGATATCAAAAAGTAGGCTTTTCTTTCAATACCTTAAGAAGAACCATTCTTTGTACTGTAGCAGACCCAAATTTCACCGATGTTCCTGTTTATTTTACTCTAGATTTTAAACTACACTTGATGCTTACTAACTTTTACCTCTTTTGTATGTAATTTTGTCATTGATTAGAATGCTGCAATGAATAATAGACTATAAAACCCTGCACGCATATTTTGTGTTATTTTAAGGTGACATTGATGCTGCACTCCAAGATGTCAATACAGCCATTGAATTGAGTAAGGGACATGGAAAAGCTGCTGCCCAAGCTTTTACCCAGAGAGCAATGATAAGGAAGTTGCAGAGTGATGATGAGGCTGCTTATCATGACTTTAAAGCTGCAGCAGCACTTGGAAATACTTTTGCAAAAGCGCAGGCAATGCAGATGAATCCTTACGCTGCTTTGTGCAATCAAATGCTTAAAGAGGCTATTGGCAAGTTAAAAAGAGGAGAAACTGACTAATTGAATTGCATTTCATTGCTTCTGAGTGCCATTTGAATAGCAGTATAACTGCAAAGATAATATCACAGGCCTGGCCATTTGAGGAGAGCCATAGCTCTTGCTCCCCTCCAGGCTCTCCTCCGTTCTCCTCAAACGCTGGAGGGAAGCTAGAGGTAGCTCTCCCAAATTGTTCTAAAAAGCAAATTTGCCCTCCTTGAAATCAATTTTTCCTTTGTTTCTATTCTTATAGCTCACCTGAATACTACTAGGAGAGCTGTTTACTGCTCCCCTGTTAGAAGTCTTATGGCCAGGTCTGACATCACCCAAGCCAGTCTGATTGTTTCCTTATATCTTGGTATGTTATCCCACCATTTAGCAACATCTATATGCTGCTCTGGTTTGTCAGCCTATCCAAGTCATTTAAGTGATGAAAAAAGTATACTTCATCCAAAATTGTAATAATTGGAGCTGAAACCTTTGGACAAGGTTTCTCAAAAATTACCACAAATACATTTATAAACCAAGAATTATTTTATATTAGCCTTAAAACACTTTTTTGTGCAAGAATTGCACAGGTCTGTCTCTGATATTTTTATAATAGAAGATGATATTCAAGTATTATGTTTATTTTGCTTGAAATAACTTTTTCAGAACTGCTGTAAATTAACCATCTTGGGCCACTCCCACCATCAACAATGTATCATATTGGCTGAATTGTCAAAACAAAAACATATCATACATTTTAACAGAGTTGATCATTGTACTTAATTTTTCCTGGCTAAATACAATTCTTTCTTGGCTAAATACAATTCTTTCCTAAAGCCAGCAATTTTTACCTGTATGGAGTGGTCGTTTATAGCCACCTTTATCAAAGACTAAAGACAATGCCCCCACTTTTCCAATCTTTGCCAAGATTGTGATGGTTTAAACTCCCACCCCCTTTGCTTCAGCATGCTTGAGCTCTATCCAACATATCAAGGATTGATTTTATAGAGCTATACAATACCATTGTTATTTAATTATCCTGGCTGTAACTGAACCATATCCTTGTATATGTTTTATCCTTTCCTTGAAAATAGCAGAGTGTTAGTATTCTTTAGAAATTATTTAAAATTTAAATTGTAAATTCTCTAATGAGCATCCATTGTAATAATAATAATAATAATTGAAGCTAAATCTCCATTTCGGAGCAGTTACCCAACTACTGGGTATCACAAGCTGGTGCTATAATTTTAGCCAATCTTTTTATTTCTATTTCATCCATTGGTAAGAAATTTTTGAAGGGTGTTGTTGATACTTTTAAGAATTTTTGAATTATTTGTAGCTAAACATGTTTTTTCCATCTTGGGTTTTTGATAAAAACTTGGGCAATCCCATAAGTGTTCAATATATTCCTCATGGGCCCCACATCTTCTGCAAAGAGAATCAGAGTACTTTCCTTTGTAGTTCGCTCTTAAGTCAACCATGTTTAGTTTTAATTTCAGCAGGGATGACGCGTCTTCGCACCCCAGATACTCTTTCATTTCAAATTTACTACCCTTGATAAATCTAAGTTTAGTCTTACTATTATTTCTAATGTTATTCTCTATGATTATGATCATTTTTTCTCTAACAACTTTTTTCCACTGTTCTTTGGTTAAATTTTTGATCTGATTTTCTTTGAGGTTAATATCAATCAGTTTTATGTCACTAATCACTTCTTTATACCAACAGTTTGGGAAATTTAAACGTTTTTGCTCTTCATAAACTATCTTGGTCAATCTACTTTCGTTCATGTTTAATACCTTATGGAAGTATATTAATCTTTTCTCTTTTATTCTAAATTCCATAGGCATCAGGCCACATTCAAGGACTATTCCATCATATGACATTGATTGGGGTAGAGAGTTAATTATTGTTACTGCATCTTTTTGCAATTTTTCTAAGTTTTTAAATTGCTTATTAGTTACGTTAGTCCATGTTTCACATGCGTACAGAACTTTTGGCATCAAAATTGCTTCAATCAGTTTGATACTGATTGCAAAACTTTGTTTCTTGAGTGCCTCCTGTTTAATAAGGAATTTTATTTCTTTAATAACTCCCAAGGCAGTGTTGATTCGTTTACTGATGCACAAATCCAAGGTTCCTTTGTTATTTTTCAAGTCCCCTAGATATTTATATGACTCTACTTCTTTAATAACTTGGCCATTTAAAATTAAAGTTTCTTTTTGGAATTTTTTACTTTTGCTATATTGCATGATCATTTGTTCACTTTTATCCAAGTTGAAATTCAGAAGGTTTTTCTTTTGAAACTCTTCAGCAATAGTAATCATTTCCTGCATTTTCTTGTGAGATATGGAAGCAATTAATATATCATCCTGGTAAAGTAGTGGAGGTATCAAAATGTTCCCAAAGTTAATTCCTAGGTTTTCTCTTTTTACTATTTGCATACCTTTATCAATATGATTGGCACAGATGGGGGCTGCCAAGATAGTTCCTTGTTTTAAATTTTCTTTAATTCTAACCTGTCTTGTAATTCCACTAGGTGTGTGGATTTGAATGTATCCTTCATTGTTTAATTCGTAGACATTTTTAAGAAAGTTTCCTTTCACCCCACTTCTATACATATCTATGATGCAAGACTTTAGCCACAGCTTATCAAAAGCCTTCTCTAGGTCCAGGTACACAAACTTCACTGGGCATTTTAGATATTTGTAATAATCGTTTATTGCTTGCCAAATAAACAAATGATCTAATGTTGACCTACCCTTTCTTCCTCACTAGATTTCTTTATTTTCAGGCTTTTAAGTACTTTTTCCAGTTCCCATATTTCAAAAGGGGCATCATATCTCTTCTTTTGTCCCTTCTGGGATTGTATTACTTTGGCAAATAGCTTATCAACTGATCTTACATGATTTTTATATTTTTCATCTGGCTCTCTATTGGTGAGTAATTTCTCAAAGTAGGTTTCATGCTCCTCAAGGATTTCATTTTGTTCAACTAATTCCTTTCCTTGCTCATTGATTACAGCAGTTGGGCAGTCTGCTTTTCTTCCTAAGATTTTGGCCCTTATCTTATAAAATTCTGAGCTTTGCACAGCAGCCCTACTTAACTTTTCAATGTTTGCTTTCATCCTAATATCTTTACTCTCATTCTCTGTCCTCACTAGTTGGTTGTTCAAGTGTTTGATTCTTATCTTCAAAACACTTTCCCTCAAATTGTCCTCTTTTTTGATAGCTTCACTTAGTTTCTGTTTTAACTCTCTTTTCTTCTTTATCAGTTCCCTACATGCCCTCATTGCAGCATGGTGCTTATTTCTGTTGTACCTTTTCTTAAAGCATTTTGCCATAATTTCATATATTTTCCTTTTCCACTCTTTATATAGGACATTTACTGGTTTGTTTTGATCCCAAACATTTTCTATTTTGTTAATTTTCACTTGTCTATCAAATTCCTTAAGTGAGTCACTTGATAAGACCCAGTGCCCTTGTTCCTTTTGAGGATTTTGGCTATAGACATCCTTTTTCCTGAAGTTAAAGTCAAGCACCATTGTATTATGATCGGATTCTTTCACACTATATTTCCCCACTCTTTCTAGAACATATCTCCTTTCTTCATCAATAATCATTCTATCAAATTTATCAAAGCCTTTTTGATTAACCAATGCATAATCAAGTATCGTCTTCTTATTAACATTACACTTGTCAGTAGTTGATACCCTTGTCCAAAGCCCTTGGCATTTATCACTGTTGTTCAATATGTTTAATTTTCTTTTCTTTACTATTTTCATTAGACTTTTTCCTCCTGTAGTTATTTTAGGATGGTTCCCTTTTATGTTATCTCCTACTTTTACATTTAAATCCCCTAGTATTATCAATGCTTTGTCTTCAATTTTAGCTTTTACAGCATAATAATCAATTTTATCAAAGAAAGTAAAGTTACTTTTTATTTTTGTCCTAGATTCCTGTTTACCATACACCACTCCCAATATTATTTCCCTACATCCAAGACTGATGTTAGTCCAGACCTGTTCATTATCATCATCTCCTACCTCTAAGACTGTTACTTTATCTTTTAGTGAATTTTTATATATCATCCATATGCCACCACCTTCTTTTTTTTCCCTTCTTAATTCTATAGGATCACAGTATCCTTTTAGACTGAGAGGACCCTCACAGGTTTTAAACTTAGGTTCTGTTATACAAATTATTGTAGGATCTAAATCCTCAATTATTGAACATAAGCTGTCTATTTTAGATTTTAGACCATTAGCATTTGAATACAGAATTTTTATCTTTTGTTTATCATACCTTCTTGTTTTTTCTTTAATGTGAGCTTTTTTCCACTTGTTTCTCTTTACACAAGGGCAGGGTCCCATGATACCCAAGGGTGTTGAGGGACTTGTTGCTGCTGATGGTATTGTATGTCTCTAACAATTTCTTTTTTAATACTATCCATTGAGTCTTTTATGCATTGTTCGATCAGGTTTGTTACATCTGTTTGTTGAAGATATCCTGTCTCTTTGTATCTTTGTTTCTCTGGGTGTAAAAATCTGCAATCAGTTCTTATGCAGACTCCTGTCATGTGTGCAAAGCATAATCCTGATGCCCTCCATCTATCCTTTTCATCAGCATTACCACCAAGCCCGCCTATGTTGTGGGAGAATTTACAATTGTGCTTATTAATGTCAACTGTTGGTTAATAAGTTGTCCTGAATATCGGGAGCACTCTTTAAGGCCACACAGGGGTTTTAAATCTCTTTTTCAGATCAGATGCAGCAAAAAGAAAACTAGATTGTCATAAAATCAAGTTTGATCTAAACTTTATTATGAAGTTATTTATCAGTCTTCCACTTGAGGTCAAGATAAATGTCCTTTTTTGGTCATTATCATTACCAACCCACTCACCATCCTGTTTATAGCCAGTAATATTGAAACAAATTTGTTGGTAGGGTTGGTCATTTGAAGGTGCAAGCAAGAAATTAATGACAATTTTTTTGGGGGCACTCGTTCCAAGAGGGATGCTAATTTGAAGATTTATGGTGTTGTTTTAGCAAAATGTAATTAGAGTCGAATCAAAGTACATTTTGGTTGTCTTCTGTGTATGTGAAATTTGTGTCTTGCAAACTTTGTTTAATCATTTGATAACTTGGCAACCAATACTGTTTTTAGTAATAATGTTTATAGCAATCAAATTTATCGACTTGCTACTTTCGTTTGATTGACTATCGTCTACGTCTATACGTACGTCTCATTGTGATTTGATAAGAACCAAGGTCAAATGGTAATGATCAGTGCCAAGGGGGGCACTTGACTTGCAAAATGACAGTGGTGTGCGGAAAACCTTTTTGCACCCTAATCCTCTCCCATAAAAGTTGCCAAAAGCATGTTCTTTCCAGTAAAAAGTATGCCAAGAATACGGCACAATATTGCAAAATTATACCCGATCTCATGGATAAATTACCAGGCACCGCGGAGCACTGAGAAAAGTGGGGGGGGGTCTAGAAAAAAGTGAGAGGCCTAAACCATATAAAAAGAGGCTTTACTGCTAGTTTATTGCTTAATATTTGGCATTTTTCGCAAAAAGTGGGGGGAGGGGGGCTAAGGCAAGATTCTTCACCTTCGCCCACTTGTCCCAGAATTTTGATGCAATTCATAATATCCTGTCCCATGATTTATATTGGGAAAGGATACCCAATTCTGTGGCACATCCAGTCAGTTCCAGACCGGCCCACACACTAAAGAAGACGTCATTGCTACTTACAAAGTGATTTGTACAGGGAAGCAAGGGGATTTTGTTTTCCTGCTGCACACGAGATCAAAATGGCGGATGATGATAAAGGAGAAGGGGCTGGAGGATATAGATGGCTAAATGAATATGAAAAAACTTGGTATATTTCCAACTTATTCATTTTTACTTTCTCTATAATAAAAGCACGATGCAACATTTAAAATTCAAAATTTTATTATATTTGCACAACCTGACCCGAGTGAGGTTCTGGAGTGTGTGGCCTCTATGGGTTTCTACGGGTTTCTATTATACATAATATATATAGGCTAGGGCCAGTATGAATCAATTGCTTAAACATGACTTAAAATGTGGTCCTTTATTGTCATTGTTGAACACGACTGCTCTGGCAATCAAGCATTATTTTCTTATTGAAGACCAACAGAAAGTTGGTATTTTATACCTAAAACAATTTAAGACAGAAGGTTTTTCATCTCACACTGCATAATCTCGCACTACAGTTAACTGTCTGTTGTAAATGTAGCCCCAAGTATAGAAGACTGTTTGATTAAGCTTAGTTTACAGACATAGTTTGATTTCAGTCACAAATTTTTAAGCCACAATTGGTATGTCAATAACCAAAGCAGCCCCAGCAAGCTATAATAGACTCCTTTTTGACACTAGCATCTTTTGTCACAGTTCAAAATTCACGAAGCAATTTGTGCCAAAATTGTAAAACAAAGCATAACATATTGTATATACAGTAAACAGAACATTGAAAAAAATAATATTGTGGCTGCTGTCAAATGCGTATAGCTTGCATGTTAAGAGCATGTTAGGATGGTGCTAAAAAGTGCACAGTTGATACCTGGCAGGTGCAAGGCAAGTTTTCGGGGCTGGAAGTTGTAATAAATTACATTTTGCATATGATCAGGTTACAAACAATTTTATGCTGATTTTATGCTGATGTAGATACAATGGGTGTTTTGTGTATATTTTTGTGTTTTAAAATTGTTCCAATTGTGTTTCATATTCTTTGACAATTGGTACTGCTCATTGTCATAATTTTACAAATACTTTTTACCATAATATTTTATTTGAGACAAACTTTTATATTAGAAGATCATTTTACCATGATGTTGTCTCTATTGAAACATATTTTTATATTAGAAAATTATTTTGTTTATTTGTGTTCTAGGGAGGTTTTACAGGAAGATGACGAGGGGTCACTTCAAGCTACAATTGATGAAATTATTCAAAAAGCAAAACGAAAAAGGTACACCTGGTAGTATTTGTTGTAAAAAAGACATATTATGCCTAATTGAAGCTGTGTCTTGCAAAATATCTTGAGCTATTTTTATGTACAATCACAACAAAACAAAATTTCAAAATCTATGTGTGTGAAAATATTGTTTCTGAAAGAAAATGTATTTCTTGATATATACTTTTTTTATTTATTTATTCAAGTTAGCTTTTCAGCATGTTTCTGTTTCTTTCTGGTGTTTCGGCAATGATAAGAAGTAGCTTTGATAGTTTTGTTTAGATTACATGTTTAAAAACATTACAAACATCAAGTTTCAAAATTGTAATATCCTTCTTTGTGTTTGGTATTTTACTAAATGATAATTTTGCAAATTTGTTACTTAAAAGCAAATTTACATACTTAGAAACATTCTTAACTAATTTACCAATTGTATAGATATTTTGAAGCATTTTACAAAAACAAATATGACTCTTTGTTAAAATGTCTAGTATTTGCAAAACTGAATAAGTTATGATTTTTTTTAAAAATCTACAAACTCTTAAATTAGCTCTTGTCACATCATTGTTTCCATTGTCAGACAATTAATTTCAGGCTGCTTGTCCGCAAAGGAAATGTCAGACTGGGGATGGTATGCTTGTTCAGTTCTATTTACTTTGTTCTTTTCCTACTTACAATTGATTCTTTACTTTCTTCTCAAACTTTTCTTGTGTGAGTATTTAATGCTGTTTGTAAGCAGGGAGACCAAAAGGATTTGGGGGCCCTTGGGCAAAGCCCAAGAATAAGGCCCTTGGGAGCAAAGTGTTTACTATTCTTGTAATGGAATTCATTACTTTATAAGTACCCCTAGACCTCAAGGTCTTGGAGCAATTTGCCCCCTTGGCCCCTTTCTTGGTGACCCTGTCTACAAGAAAGCATATTAGGCTCCATTTTCTCACTGTCTCTTCTTCTCATGGCTAAAGTATGTAATCTGATGAAAATGAATCTTTTCTGGTATTCTAGAGTTGTGATCAAAATTAGATAAAATACACTTTGCTTAAAGAAATATAGCATAAATATTATGGCTTGCGATGGATTGTTGTCCAGATATCCAATGTCCCTTCTTCAAGGAGTCTAGGTCTAATTATTCTCAAAACATTTAGAAAAACCCTTCAACTTTTGAATAATAACCATTGAATCAGCAAAATATCAACAAATTATGAACAAGAGTTAAACAATCTACGAAGTGGCCTTGAACGTTTCTTCGAACAATTTGCATAGCAAATGATCTTCTGTTTACAAAGCTGCTATATATCAAATTATGGAAACACTCTTGTATCACATAACTAAGGCCTTAACTTAAGCTGCATTTTAAATTTTGAGAGAAGTCAATACAATTATTGTTTTTTTCATGATCATTTTTTCTTATGCAGGTAAAGATTTGTAGTTTTTAAATTGTTTTTCTTGTTGTGCTTTTTGCTAATTTTCCTACACAACAAATGCTATAGATCTATGATATATCTTCCAATGATTAAAACCTATTGTTTGCAATTCATCCAGAATATACATTTTCTCTTTTCCCAACCTTTGGAACTAATTTCCCAACCCTTGGCACTTTCAACACAGTCCTTGTGTAGAAAAACTTTACAAATGCTAACTCAGCAAAAGCATTACAAATGTTTTCACATAAAGCAAACTTGAAGCCCTCAAGCAACAAAGTTAATGTCTTTCTGCAAACTGAGCAACTGGCAACCAGCATTTTCCTGTAATAATTATTTTGTGATTTCCCATATAATTAAATTGTTTAAGATGTCTCCTGTCTTCTACACTCCTGGTAGAGTATCTGCAGCAATAGAGGGGAAAATTTTAAAGCAGTTTTGTTTTCTACAGATGAGACATCTATTCATTGTTGTGGACATGTCTAGCTCTATGAAAGAGAGTGACCTATTAAGACCTTCAAGAATTGCATGTACTCAAAAGGTGAGGCTGAGTTTATTGATAATTAATGTTTCAGCTATGCACTTACCTAAAAAAACTTAAAGGAGCAAGTAGTTATGCAGGTGCTTTCTGTAAATTCAAGCTTTCAAGGGAAACATAGTTTGCTAGAAATATTAATTTTTAAAAAATGGAAATTGCATGAAGCTTTTACTGTATTTTTGATGGATTTCAACAGTTGATCTCCGTTACTTCTGTTTTGTTCAAGGGCAAAATTTGTTTAAATGTAAATTATTGATGGATTAGGCAAGCTTCCTTTTTAATTTTTTCTCATAAATCTACCAATTTCTGAGCAATGAAATGTTAGTAGAGATGAGATTGAATGATATACTGGAAAACTTTTATGTTCCTACATGCTATTGTTATATTCTCTTTAAAAATATATAATTTGCCCAAGATAAGGGGATTTGCTCAAATTTAAGGAAGTTAATATTAACATTTTTCAAAATATTGAGAATTTTTCAATTGTGTGCGAGAAGAAAGATGCATTGCTGAAGGAAGGCAATTCTTGTGCAAATCTTATTGTTAGCCAGTTGATTAAGATATTTTGCTAAGACACTCTATATTGCGTATTTGCAAAACATTATGTATGGTAGTCTTTACTAGAAATAAACCAGAAATTTTAATTAGAAAATTGCCTTTCATCACTCGATGATTCTGACTAAAAGATTTGGTATAATTTTCTTTTCAGCTTCTAGAGAAATTCATTGTCGAATATTTTGACCAAAATCCAATCTCTCAGGTATGATTACACCTAATTTGATTTTTTCTATAACACTCAATGTAATATTAAGAGGCATACTGAAAACTGCATTACTGAAAACTCTAGTTTTAAAATTTTCTACGTTGGATCCCATAACCTGAAAGAGCTTCGTGAAATACTTCTAAATATGCAAAATCAGCGGAAGGCGTTACGTCTTGGCCCAGATACGGCTACATACAGGCTCTTTCCAATTAAATCACTGTAATTTAGTCTCTGTTCATAACTTTATGAACCAAGTAAATATTATCCGTTACTTAACTTCAAATCATTAGTTACAATGTTAGAAATTCTTCAATCACATTCCTACATTAATTATCCATTTTTTGTTGAAAACCTTTAGAATTAAGAAGCAAGCAAAAAAACATGGGGAATGTGCATGAATATGGTGGTTTTCATAAGTTTGTTTCAGTTTTATGATGTTTTTTCGGGTTTTCATAATGATGTTAAATTTAAATTGTAGCTTGGTATCATAATAACGAAAAACAAGAGAGCAGAAAAAATAACAGATTTGAGCGGTATGCCTGTTGTTTTAATTTTTTCTATTTTATTTTATCATATGTTTCTCCAGATTATACCCTTCGTGCTTTCCTGATAAAACTTTGGTGATAAAATTTGTCGATCATTCCCGTTGGACACTTCAGGTAGTTACCAATTTCGATTGCACCCTGCCGTAGTCCAAAATTTTAAGAAGTAATTTATTATCAGAGAGGGCGCGAGGAGAGTATAACTATTAATAAGTAGTTCGACTCTGGTGACAAAGTGCTCAATTTGCTTATGCGCGTGAGGGGAGGGACGGGGGCTACCTCCTGTTTTTTGAAAAATATCACAAATTGTTTTCAGAATTATGAACCATCTTATAATTGGGTATCAGGGTAAGAAAGCTTGAGCGTTTTATGGAACATGCCTTCCAATAAACAAATGTTTCCATGAAGCTGATTCCTTCAACTATAGCTTCAGGAACCGTTACCCCCCCCCCCATTTACTGAGTTGTTAATATAATATCAACCACTTCAAGCTGCTTCGCACCCTGTTAATATGACACCGAGCAATAACTGTTTTCTGTCTATTTTTACGAGGTGTCGAATTTGATAGAGAGAACACAAGAGAGAATTTTTGACTGCATCTATGAAAACAGCTCTTGTCTAAAGCTATTGCAAAGAGATACATATTTTAAACAGTAGGTTTTTAGGTTTTAATGTAAAGCTTTGACAGTATAAAAGTTACACGAAGCCTATATTTCTATTGACTTGCAAAGGAGCATTAATTTGGCTTGTAGCCTCTTTGTTGGGAACTCAAAGACAAGTTTTCATTTCTTGCCGTGTGCGGGGAGAATCTTCCAATCGCGCCCACACCTCAATTTTGTAAAAGCTTTACACACGTAATTTTTTTCTTAAAAATATATTAAGTTTATGAAATATCTAAAGAGCGTTGTCAAGTAGTCCGTAGAAAGAAGGAGTCCCTGCCAATTTAAAGGGCATGATAAATTTCCAGGGGTTCTAGCCCCCCCCTCTCCACTCCATTTATTTTCATGCTATGTTTGCGATACAATCCTTTTTCCAGGAAACCCAAAACTACATATAACAGCCTTACAGAATGTTGTAAACAAAGGTTGTTCTGGGGAACCGTCATTACAAAATTCGTTGGACACAGCACTAGCGGTTTTGAAGTAAGGCTTAAAGTTCTTTCATATCTAAGTCTCGCAGTGCAAATCTTTAATAGCAATAGTATAATCATGTTTTTTCCAATTCTACAAATCTATTTTTCAGGTTATGCTAGTCGTTAATTTTATAAAGTACGGTTTAGATAACACTAAAAAATGGAAATATAGCATACTGAAATACTTCTCATCCAACACTCCTCAAAGTTTCAACGTCCAATAATGACAAATAGTAAGCAGAGAGTTGTGGCTATGCCATTACTTCTTTCCATCAAGTGGTACCCTGACCAATAGATGGTAGCATCTCTCCCTGCTACAAAATCGAAATGAATAATTTTCTTTAATAAATGGTTCTTGTTGAACAGACAGAGGTTTCGATGTACGAAGGCTTTCAAGAAAATATTTGTATCATGTTTTATACAACCTGTTCATATAAACAATTATAACTTCATATGAATAATTATATATAATAAGTTTTTTATAAGGAATTATATGTACAGTAACTCCCTGCAAGGAAGAAGCTTGTGATTCATAACCTATTTGGCCTAAGGCCTGGTGAATCATAAGATCTATATTTAAAAAGTTATTGTCCGCTCAGCCATCTTTTGCAACGAAACATCCCTGCTGCCATGCATGGCGGACCTAGTTCACCGACATAACACATCTTTTCGATTAAAACATATTACTACCTATATCGAGAATCTTAAATGATGCTGCTCCTTCAAACAAGATCTAATAACAGTCTGTCTCTTGAAAAAGTAGCTATTTCTTAATTGGGGATTAGTATAGTCAGCCTTCATGAATAGTTATCTGTTTGTTTATCGTTGTTTTCAAGGCATCTTCCGAATCATGCAAGCCGTGAAGTTCTTATCATATTTGGATGCCTAACAACCTGTGATCCAGGGGACATAAATGATTCTATTGCGGTAATAACCAATTTTGAAAGCTATATATATATTTTTCACATCATTTTCTTGACAGTTTCTATGACTTGTTGCATTCAGTGGTCCTGCTCAATGTGAGATAGATCATGGATCATGTCAACGATAAAACATTTTTTTGCATCAGGATTCATCACCTTGATAAAGCTTAAAACGTATAGGAATAAAGGATAAAATACAAAATTAACTTAGCTTTTTAAAGGTTAATTTAGTAGCCTGGTTCTTATGCTATTTTGTTCAAAGGGCTACTGGCTGCTAAGAACTTAGGCTATAGCGTTATTATCTAGCGGTTGGCCATCCTTGCTGTTACAGTTACCGTAAATCCTCGAATTGCCCCCCCCCCTTGGATAAGCACCCACTCTAGAACTGCAAATTGTCAATAAGCCCCCCTCGAACAATCCCCCACTGCTACCGTAAATTCTGGAATTGGCCCCCCTCTCGAAAAAGCCCCCCCCCCTCGAATAAGCCTCCCCCTCGAATAAGCCCCCCCTCTCGAATAAGCCCCCACTGCTACCGTAAATTCTCAAATTGGACCCCTCAATTTGTTTATTTTTGCCATCTGAGGTCGCCTATGGCGTTTTATTGAATTACCACAACAAATTCATACTTTTGGTAATAATTAATTAAATGCTCATAAAGAAATTCCTACTAAAATAAACGAGGTCTTTATTAATATCTTCTTAATGTCTACAAAAATTTTCTAAGCCTCCCTCGAATAAGCCCTCATCCAAAAATGTCAAAAGTAAATAAGCCCCTAGGGGGCTAATTCGAGGATTTCCGGTACGTGTGAGAATGGCTCAGTGGTTTTGGGTTGGCGGACAACAGATTCAAGGGTCAGTGATTGGAGTCAATGACATGACCAAACTTCCACTTAGAGTAAGGGAAGTTGCCAGCTCCCTGCAATTCCAGTTTTAGATTTCACGAGGTATGTTCACATCGAGAAGGAAGACCAGGACACTGCTCGATAAGAACAGTTTTTCTGTTAAAACCTTCATTCGAATGGTAGGTAATAGCAGATAAATACAGCTGTCACAACTTTCGCCATCCCATTAATAATCAGTTAATGGCTCACATTCCCAAGAGAAGGGAGTGCTTTTGGTAACAGGATCATTGTTGTGTTTTGAATTTTTTTGCTGTAAAGAAAAGCTACAAAATGGCCTTTATGACAATCACTATAGACAGGGCAAAATGTATTTAAATCAGGTACAATGGCAGCATCATTGTGTCAGTATTTTTATAGTGATGTGATTTTGAAAATGATGTAAGAATCACTTGTGATAGTAAAGCTGCTGTTGTTACTATCACAAATGATTCTTACAAAAAAATGATATGCCATTTTGCCAATCTGAAGAAACCCTATTTGCCGGAGCAAAATACAAGAACACCAATCGTCGTATTTCTGTTTCTTCTCTATGCTTGCGATATTCCTGTTTTTCATCTTCTTGGCTGCAATTTTTTGTTTGCAGTCCATCCAGCATTCCTTCTACTACAGCCTTTCAGTCCTCAGAACAAATTGTTGGAAGCATCGCCAATCATCATCAAATCATCAAAGATACTATTCCATTTTCTTTTTTTGATGTCATAGCCGTTATAATTTCGATTTTTTAAGATATAGCACGGCCTTATAAAGCTCGTGTGACCAAATCTATCGGATACCAACTAAAACGACGATTAACGGCATAAACAGCGTTTCAAAGCAATCAGTTTTTTGTTTCATTCACGTGGCTATCGAATCTTCATTTCAGGCGTTGAAAAGTTGCGATATACGATGCTCAATTATAGGACTGTCTGCTGAAATACGTATCTGTAAGCAAATTTGCAAAGAAACACAAGGTAATGGCTCGAAGATTTTCTCTTTTCGATCAACAACTCGGTATATATTTTACATCGTGTTCTTTCGGACCCTTATTCTGACATTTTATGCTCTGAGGAGTGTCAGACGAAAAAGCTTTAAGTTAATATTTTGTGAAATGTTTGCTTTTTTCAAAGCTATTTTCAAGCTCTGTACTACAAAAAATTGTAAACACAAGGTACTGGTCAAGGTGTGTTTGGCAGGATTGAGTCCTCTCTCTCTCTCTCTCTCTCTCTCTCTCTCTCTCTCTC